AGAGAGCAATTCTCACGATGGACGTTGAAAATGGCCAACTGCATCCTCATATGGACTTTAGTTAGGAAGACCGAATTCAATTCAATATTCAATAATGTTTGGATTCAGAATTATCATAATTGGCAAATGATTAAAAGTGGAAAAAGAAGAAAAACGCGGAGGGAAGGAAAAAAAGAGAGAGAGACAGAGCAGGTGACGCGTCTTCCCCCGCTAGTTTGGGCAGCCTATTCCTTAAATTAGTGGGCGCCCGCGGGCAGGCGGGCAACTTCCAGACCCGCTGTAAAATGGTACAGAGCCTCACAAAACTCACTTAATTCTGAGCCGGATAGCGACCCGATTAGTGGGAAGCACTGCTCGTCGGGGCACCTTCCCGAGGTCGGGCATCCAATCATTTGTCGTCAAAGGAATCTTCAGCTGGCAGGCACCAACGCCCTCTATCACCATCGTTATTGCCGTGGACACCAAGACTTATATACCCCTTTTGCCTTATTTATGACCTTAGCTATTACATATTCTTGGCTTCAGGAGACTCATTATTCCTTGCGGTCATCTTTGAGAAGTCCCCGAAAGTTATATTCACATTTAAGTCTCTGATGGACCACACACCATGACGCCTGATCAGATCCAAGTCCTCTTCAGGGACGCCCCAGAAGACGAAGACTCAGGGACACAGGCGCTGAAAGCTGTTTTAGACGAGGCTCAACAGCTCAAGGAAGAAAAGTCCCCAGAACTCCGGACGCTAGCAGAAAAACTTGCTATCGGGAGTCGAGAAGGTGAATAATTTCCCCTTCCGATTCTGCCTTCATATAACCCATTCTAAAATATGCAAATTCACATGGTTTTTTGTCTTATTATATGGATAGAAGAGGGGGCTTGCTGACCGTTTGGATTTGGGTATAGTTCCGTGGAGAATACCTATTGGGAAATCAGGCCTGCTAGGATTATTTCTCGATATCATAAGAGGAGAAGACTTGGATCCTGATCTCACATCTTATGCACTTCGTATCATTGGAAATACTTGTGCAGATCAAGGTCTGTATGCTCAAGTCTTAGCTTCATGTCTATTGTGCTTACAAGAGGTAGATGAGAACAGACAGAGAGTCATTGACTCAGGCCGTCTTCCTGACCTGGTTAAATTACTAACCGAAGATGCCTTCCTACAGTTCGCTGTACCAGTCTTATACAACATCTGCGTAGATTATGGTGAGAACTACTAATCGACATACGGAGGAGTATTTTCTGACAAGCTACCAACTAGAGCCTGCCCAAATAGCAGCGTCTAAAGCCAACGTGACAAAGTCTATAGTCGACTTCCTCACGAACCCCAAGTTACAAGACAGGGCGTCAGCGTATTTATACAAGCTGGCGGGCCTTGTAGCGACCCAAGGTAGGTAGCCTTAAGTCCTTTAAATAGATAAGAATTATTAAAGCTGACGAAACCCAAGATGTCGAGCCTGAACTATTCGTCCCCGAGGCATCTAGTGTCCTCCTATCTAGGGCCACTTTGGAAGCGTCCAACCCAGAGTCAGCAGAACTTGACAGCTTTGCAGGGCTATCTATCGCAGCACTAGCATACCTCTCCCACCAGAACTTCCAAGAGAGTTTCTTGAAAACCGCAGACCCTATAAACACATTTCTAGCAGCCTTCCGAACTGCCATGGAAGGTCCCCGTATCTTCGACGTCGAGGATCCGGAGGAGCGAGCGCAGCTCAACACACTACAGGCAACATATACACAGACTCTTGCGGACTTATCCGCTCACCCTCTGTTCATATCTCTCTGCCCTCTAGACGGCCCCTTAACACAGTCACTCCTACAGTGGCTTTCACCCACTCAGCATACACAACTGCAAACAGCAGCATGTCTATCCCTCGGCAACCTCGCCCGCTCCGACGAATCCAGCATCGCCTTGATCAAGGAGTTATCCATCCACAAACCCCTCCTCGCCATCATCTCCTCCGACTTCTCAACCCCTGATCTCCAACTCCTCCACTCGGCCCTTAGTTTCCTAAAAAACCTCTCTATTCCCGCCCCCAACAAACCAATACTTGGCTCCGCCGGAATCCTAGACGCGGCGCTTCTCCCGCGGACCTGGGCCATGGACACGCAACCACAAATCCAATTCGACGGCGTGTCGCTCGCGCGCCTGCTCCTCGTAAACTGCGCCCCCAACGTACGGCGCGTGTGCGTGCCTCCGAGCGAGGGAACCCAGACGCTCCTCCACGAGCTCATGGAAGTGCACCGCAAAGCGGACCAGGACCCGATCAAGATGGAGACGGCACGCGCGGCAGCCAACATCTGCCGAGTTCTATACTCTTCCGTGCCGGTGGGCTCCGCGCTAGTGATCCCCCACGATACAGACCCCTCGACCGCGACCGCGACCGCGACTCCTGCCCCTAACGAAGAAACCGCATCTCCGTCCCAAGCCGCGCTCGACGCCTTCTTCGCCGCACACCCCGCGCTCGCAGACACGCTCCTGTACCTCGGGCTGCAAGCCAAATTCCCCGTCCTCCGCTCCGAGCTATGGTTCGTGCTCGCGCTGATGGCGCGCTCCGCATCCGGCGCCAGCGTCCTAGCGGAGTTCCTGCACCGACGCCCCGAGATCGTCAACGTGCTTGTAGAAACCGTCACCGGGGAAAAGATGCTCGAAACCCGGGGCCAGGACCAGGTGGTACAGGAGATAGCAGATGAGAATGGCACGGCGGAGTCGGGAGCCACACCTCATTTGTCCGCACTGAATGGGCTAGGCCAGCTCGAACCGCAGCAGGTTGACCCGGCGAAAGCGGCGACCATGTCCAAGGTAGACCGGGAGAACGGCCTGGTGCTGGTTGCGGAGTTGTTGAAACGATGCCCGGAAGGACTACCTCCTGTAGCAAAGAACGCGTTCGGGCGGATGCTAAAGACAGGTGGAGAGTTGGTTCTCAGGGAGAAGAGCGATTAGGCTTACAGAACGTACCTAGATATGAGTGTTTAGTTCAATGTGGCTAGATCTGGCTGGCTTGTCCCATATCTGTAGGTTAGTTGTGATTAGAATGTTGAATCTGGATTTGTCACGAACGTCCAGATTATACACATTGGTAGATACTCATATCCATATAAATCCCTAGAAAGACTGGTTAGCTAGGTAGCTTAACGATCATGAATGATCTTGTCTCCCGGTCCGCATGGTACTTCATAACTTCACTTCACACTGCTTCAAAAGTCGTAGATCATGTCCATTCATTTTTCATTGAGAAAGACCTAGAGCAAACCGGAAGATGCAATAATGACTTCGGTCTTTTTGTGCGGCGAGAGAAGTTTGATATCTTTACTCTCCTGGCTACACAGAAACCGCAAGCCAACCCGCCATGACCGACCAACAACACAACGAAAGCAGAACCCTGATAATGCCGTCCGTACTCCCGTGCAGACCCCGTCTGAGTTCATCTCCCATCTTATTTCTTGTTAGCCTCCGCCTCAGCCTTGTCCCGAGCTCGCTTCTCCCGCGCGCCTTGTAGTCGGGCGTCGCTTCGGGCCTTGCGGAGTTTCGCGAAGGCACCGCCCTCGATAGCCTTGGGTAGTTCGCTCTTCTTGATCTCTGAGATACCTTCACCGACGGGAACAATGGGGAGGGTGGATCCGACAGCGGAAACGGTCTTGGTGCTGCTGAGGTCGATGTCCTTGCTGTCACCGGCCTTGGGGTGCTTGGCACCCTTGCGAGGGAAGACGATTAATCGGGCCTTGTAGGCCTTCAGGCGGGCGACATTAGCAGCGAGGGATTCTTCGCTGAGGTTCTGGCGGCGGTGGTCGACGGCAATACCGACGGTGGGGGCGACGAGACGGGGGATGCCAGCCTCCTATCGTGATGTTAGACAAGGGGAACCTTGTTTGTAGATAACATGTCAAATTGTGTTATAATATACCTTCAACTCAGTGAGAGTGAAACCACGTCCGGCACGAACGCGACGGTTGTACTTGATGGTAGGGCACCGGATAACAGGTCTCAGCTTGTCGACGGGTCGGGGAGCGACAGCAGCGGCCTTAGCAGCACGGACAGAGCGACGGCGGATCTTTTGGGTAGGCTATTTCCATCGCAATGTTAGAATTTTTCCGATTTTCCCATCTTCTCGTCGATAGACTAGATTATCTTGAGTGTTGAATTCATACCTGGTTGAAATGAGTCCGAACCCGTCGTTGCCAATCCTTTCGGAAATCTATGTACTTTAATTAGTATATTCGGTCTATGATTGGAAATGCGATCGGTCGGCTGTCGTCGAAGAACGGGATTTAGCTTGACATACGGTTGTGCTGAATCTGGTTGTTGTGCTTGATCGCCTGTGGTGATGAATTGCCATGTTAGCGCATCGCTCGCCTGGTACTCCAAAGTGAGGAATTTGCATAGTCATAGTAATTATAGCATGATAATGACAATAACCACCATGGAATGGGAATACTAACCATTGTGACTGATTGCGATCAAGGGTTGTTGGTTGTGGAAAGAATGGTCGTGGATCGCAGGTCTGCTTCAATTCCAATTCCCGGATTGGAGGCACGAGAATTTCCTTATTCCTTAGAGTAGCAGCTGAGACTAGCCCGCACTTTCGCCAAATTTTTTGAAGGGCTTGAAAACCCTACAATTTTTGAAAAGTGGCTGTGCGATTTTGTGTGTTCGATGTGGAGTCGATCAGTGGCTTGAGCTTTGGTTCGAAATCCACTTCGGATGGATAGGTGGGGCTACTTTCTATGAGACCTGCAAAAAAAAAAAAAAATTGACGGTTCCTTGCAGTTGGAAGTCATCTGGCTGTGACTTCTGCATGCCCGACTTTGCCAACGGCGCAACGCTTACACAAATTCGAACTAGTCGAATTACATAACGACATTATCTAACTAAGCTAAGGCAGAACAGCGCTAAAGCCTCAGTCAGCCTGGTCAGCTCAATAACTCACTTGGTATATAAGCCACAAAAATCAGCCGGCTGTCATCCAATGGAAATCATCGCAATGGATAGACTCTGTCTCCCGGCCTTGGTAGCTCAATTGGCTAGAGCGTGGGACTTTTACTCCGATCTGATTGCGGAATCCCAAGGTTGCGGGTTCGACCCCCGCCTGAGGCGTCTAATTGCATATTCATCCTGCCAATGAATCAACTTTTCTTTTTCTCAATTTGTGTCAACGTGTTGAGGTGATTACTTTTTTGTTTGTGTTGTTGGGGATGTCGCAGAATTAGATGGAACTGAAATTTTAATGGGAAATGGGAAATAGGCGGGAAGGAGCCTGGAAGAAACATGGGGATTACGTCATTTGTTCCGATAAGAAACACGTCTACGGATAGCCTGGAGGTAGGCAGGTCTACGATAGGTAAAACTTAGAATTGTAGCCATAGACCTCGGTTAATCTTTTAAAAAACATAAACCTTGAACTCTCGGACAGTAGCGACAATGGCTTCTCTACCATGATCTGTAGAAAGGCACCTGTTCGGAGGCTTTTCGTCTCGGCCTCTCGACTCGAAACTTTACAAACACATTCATTGTTGAGAGGAGCTCCATTCTACCCTGCTAGACGTCTTCATAGCACACCTACCCGTCTGACAGACGGCGTGTTTCGCGGTCTTACAGATGACCGTCTACCCATGCCATGGATAGAAGCATGGAGGCTTCAACAAGAGGGAAAGAACATCGCTTCCGATGAGGCTCGGTCACAAGAGCGGGATCTCACGCCTAAGAAGATGAGCGATAGTTACCACAGAGTTGTGCTCCCTCTTGGTCATGACCCTTGGCTTAGCGATACATATATCAACGCATCCGGTCATATAAGGTCATCAACCTCTTATCCTTATTGACTAGGAATCTCTTCTAATGAAATAGACATGATATAGGCTAGGCACGATATTTATGGACCTTGACGCTCTATCCGGTATTATCGTCTATAAACACACCGGACCCGGCGTCACAGTCGTGACTGCAGCCCTTGACCGTATCACCATCGCTCACCCGCTGACAGAGATATGCGATCTCGAGTATAGTGGACAGGTGACATACGCATCCGGGAGAAGTAGTGTAGAGATCACATGCACAGTAGCCCGAGCTAGGGACGAAGGCGAACCCAGCAAGCCAGAAGACGTGCTTCTGACATGCACCTTTACAATGGTGGCTCTGGATCCTGTGACCAAAAAGCCTGTCAACATCCCGCGCGTTGTTGCTTCCACTCCTCAGGAAGAAGCACTCTTCAAGGCGGGTGAAGCCAAAGCTCTCGCCAAGAAATCCAACCTCAAAACCTCTTTACTCGAAACCGAGCCCAATGATCCAGAATCCGCATTAATCCACAAGATCTGGCTCCGTCAACTAGCATACCACGATCCAAATAACAGCATCCGGCAACCCTCAAACGTGATTTCCATGTCGCGGACACAACTTTCCACAGCGTCCATTATGCAGCCGCAGTACCGCAACCGGCATCAGACTATGATCTTTGGTGGCTTCCACCTGAAGCAGACGTTCGAATTAGCCTTCTGCTGCGCGGCAAGTTTCGCCCACGCGCGGCCAATATTCATCAGCGCCGATCCGTGTACCTTCCGCAACCCGGTACCCGTAGGCAGTGTATTGTATCTTACCGCTACAGTCGTGTATACAGATCCGCCGCTGTTGGAGGAAGATGGTAGCGAGCCACAGCAGAAGGATTCGAAGAACCCGATGACGCGACTGCATGTTAGGGTGGATAGTAAAGTTCGAGATGTCGAGCACGGGAATGCGAAGCCGACGGGCCAGTTTAACTATACGTTCTTAGTACCGAAGGATGTTAAAGTCTTGCCTCGTACGTATTTCTTATCATTGCAGCTCATTCTCCTCGTTTTTTATAGCTTCTTTATTGGATCTCATGTTTTCTCACCGCTACAACCAATTAATTTTCATTTTCCCGCAATTTCATCAAGAATTCAGAAGCTCATCATGTTCTTCAATTTTCCAATCCCAACTATAAAATGCTTCGTTGACTCACCATGGCTCAGATACGTATCAAGAGTACATGATGTACATCGACGCGAGGAGAAGAGTGCAACTAGGAGATGTGCAAGATCGCCGGGATCACGCAACCTCCAAACTATCAGCCGAAAACGTGAATCTTACTGAGTGAAATGTGTACTATCATTTAGAGTCCTATTTTGAAGAACGAATGATGATTATTTGGTCTAGCTTATAGAGGAGATGAGTGTAATTAGTATTGTATAGAGATACTGTCAAGCTCCGAGAGGTTTTAGAAATAGTTTAAATTCAGGGAAGTCTGAAAGGAGCGGATTCATCCCCTGTTGGTGATTCTTCAATCCATTTCTATCTGGTGGAGCGATAGCGACTCATCCAGGACGAGCTCGTGTACTGTCTATTCTTGGGGTTGACCTATCGGTCGTTCGCTTCAAGCGCCGTCTCCGCTAATATTATAGATGACCTTGATCTTTGAGTAAGTATGATGGCATGATACGGATGGTCAGCAGTACTAATGAATATTTACAGCTATCAAGTTAGAATGATATTCTGAATTCGGGTTGCGAGACCGTGACACGACTGCTACTTTGAGTGGGATGGAATGGGGACCCACGGGGATCCGACGGAGCATCGGAACGGAGCATCGGAGGAAAGTGAAAGAAATTATGACATTGCACATCACTGAATCGTTTTCTAATCTGGAACTCATCATTTTCATATCAACCAGGACTACCTACTCAAATAGACAATTGACGTCTTTTTTACTAACTCGAAACGAATTGATCGAAGAAATGTCCGATCGTGATGGACAGGCCCCCTATAGTGGGCCCGGTTCTACTCCGAGAGGCCGCGCTCGTCTGCCATCTAGCAGACGACGGGACAAGCCACAATTATCTTGCAACCTCTGCAGGAAACGAAAGTACGTGTGATACATACATCCCTTCAATTCCATGAATATTCTAATTAGCCCGCAGATTAAAATGTGACCGAGGACATCCTTGTGTTACATGTGCAAGACGAGGTCTAGGATCGTCTTGCACTTATGCTCTCAATGTACCCCCTATCAATGAACCAAGCCAGCCGGCTAAGGCCCCCCTGAGTGTCCAGGACAGGATACAGCAGCTGGAGAACCTCGTGGTTGATTTGATGAAGACGTCGGGGATAAAAACTATTCCCGATACGCCGGTCTCTATGTCCCCACCTGATTCGGTCATCGCTTCTACTCCAGCTCAACAGATAGCCCACGATTCATCTCCCGTATCGGACTGTGGGAGTATGAGACTGGGCGGAAAGAGCGTAAGCTATGTCAGCGGCGATCATTGGGCGGCGATTCTTGAAGGGATCGGTGAGCTCAAGGATCATCTCGAGGAGGAAGAGTTGCAAAATATCCACCAAGCCGATGAAACCCCTGAAGTCGATATATCTGGGCCTCAGTTGCTATACGGTTGCCCCAAGCATTTGACCAAAGAGGAACTCTTAGCTTCCATACCTCCGAGACCGGTTACAGACCGACTAGTTTCGTATTACTTTAACTCTTTCGAGATGTCTCCTTGTTGGTGTAATCGCAAAGTCATATTCTAGATATAAGCTAACTTCCAAAATAGCTGCCATTCATTCGCATCAATTCCTTAAAGAGGTACATGGCTCCTTACGACCTAACATGAACTCCATGTCTATGCTGTGTACTAATAATTCTATTATAGTACGAGAAATTCTGGGAGTCTCCATCCACCACCCCCGTCATCTGGCTAGGTCTTCTATTTGCCATCATGTCCCTCTCTGCCCAGTTCCAAATGTTCAAGATAGACCACGGAGACCGCTTTTTCCTTGCCGCGCCCCCCCAGACCGACCTAGGGGCCATGATGGAATTGTTTAGGCAGAATATCGTACAATGCCTTATCCTAGGTAGATATACGAGAGGAGGCCCATACGTCGTGGAAACCATGATTCTCTATTTCGCTAGAGAATACATCATCTGCAAGGATGCAGATATCGGTGTGTGGTTACTTTTAAGCACCATCGTACAAATCGCCATGCACATGGGCTACCACCGGGAGCCGAAGCACTTCAAAGGAATGTCGGCTTTTGCGGGAGAGATGCGGAGGCGTGTCTGGATAACCCTTGTTGATCTCGACCTCGCGATTTCCTCTCAGATGGGTCTTCCTAGAATGATTGAAGAAAGACACTCCGATGTGGAGATGCCTCGTAACCTTCACGATAGCGACTTCGATGTTGACACGGTGGAGCTGCCTCCCTCGAGGCCCGACACAGAGCTGACGTTGATACTTTATCGCCTTAACAAGGACCGCATGATGAAGTGTTTGGGTTTGGTGTGGGATCTTGTTGTCGATATCAGGCCACACACGTATGTGGAAGCCATGGAAAACGACGCCAAACTTGAGGAAGCGCATTCTTTGATCCCCGATTGTTTGAGGTGGCGATCTATGGCCCAGTGCGTTGGAGACGCACCGAGCATGATCATGCAAAAGCTCTTCTTACGAATTATCTACTATCGAGCCAAGATAGTTCTTCATCGCAAGTTTAGCCTCGCCAAGATACCGCATGAATACCCATATTCCAGAGAAGCCATTTTAGACGCGGCTTTCAATCTCCTCGACTACCAACGTATACTCGACGAAGAGACGCAACCATTTTGTCGGTTATACGAGGAGCGTTGGAGGGTTTCATCTATTGTATCTCACGACTTCCTCCTCGCTACTAGCATCCTTTGCCTTTACCTACAGAACACTCCCGGGAAGGTCCAACAAGCAGCCGAATCTGCGCTCACCGAAAAGATTTTGAAATGCCTCGAAACATCGTATGACATTTGGCTTCGGCGCAGTAGCGTTTCAAAGGAAGCGCAAAAAGCCGCCAAAGCTCTGAGCATCGTTATTCGAAATCGCCGGGGCTCCAACAACACCCCCAATGCTGAACCTGCCATACCGGAGGACTGGATGTGTTGGCTAGAAGGGTCCTCTAGCTCCTCGTCTTTACTGCAGTCCTGGGCGGACATTGATGTACAAATATCCGACTGTAAGCAGAAAGATATATTACAGCTACTAAGTAGGATTCTCGAACTGACAATGGTAGCAGCTGTGAACACTTTGGGTGCGACTCAATGGCTTTTCGGTCTGTGAATT